ACCACACTCTCACTAAGGATTTCACTGATGAGGCGATGGTTTCTCTGGAAACGGGCAGTGGCTGTATGCTTCATTGAAAAGCCATCATCGTAATCTGGAATGAACAGATTATTCTGGAAATTAGGTCACCAGTAATCATAAAAAGGAATGTAACAACGTTAACACTTAATTACCAAGGAACCATGGGCCTCGCTGGCCTAACAAGTGGACCTGACCAGCATCTTGGGAGCTCTGGAGCAGTTATTTGATAAAAATCGTACAGAGGACATAATGTGTTCATTGGCCAAGGTCGTAGTTTATCTCCCAGTCTTTAAGTGATGATGCATGTCTGAGAAGGATTTGGCTAAAACATTAACGAGATATAACATTTCTCTTTTGGCTTTGGAATCAATGTGAAGGCTGCATGTGATGGCACTCATTGACCTTCTGCCCCGTGTTTTACTCTCCTGGTAGTAACTTAAGGCACTTAACGACTGATGAACATCAAATGAACGCGGCAGTGTCTTTGTCACTGAAGCACTTTAAAAATGAATGAAAATGCCCATTTGTAAAATTATCACAGCAGAGAAAACATCATCTCTAACAATATTCAGTTTCCCAGGCCTTCAAGTAATTTATAGAAGAAAAATAAATGTTTGATTCCAAATTTAATTTTTGTCAGTTTACACTTAACCAACTGTTGTCAGTGTGTAATGGTATGACCCAAGTTCATACAGTATAGGTCTGGTTTATATGTTTTTGTTTTGTTTGTTTTGAGACAGAATCTCGCTGTATCACCCAGGCTGGAATGCAATGGCCCGATCTTGGCTCACTGCAACCTTCACCTCCTGGGTTCAAGCGATTCTTGTGCCTTAGCCTCCCAAGTAGCTGGAATTACAGGTGCCTGACACCACGCCTAGCTAATTTTTGTATTTTTAGTAGAGACAGGGTTTCACCATGTTGGCCAGGATGGTCTTGAACTCCTGAATTCATGCGATCCACCCATCCTGGCCTTCTAAAGTGCTGGGATTACAGGTGTGAGCCACTGTGCCCACCGTATTATGCTTATTTTTAATAGCTATCTAGTGTTTCCTTAATCTCAGTCTTTGCTCTATCGCCGTTATAGTTTTTCATATATCTTTTAACAGCCTGTACTATTGTTTACTTAATATTTTTTCTTTAAACTAACTCACTTAAAAAAATAAAAAGAGAGCATTCTCTTAAGCAATATGTATTAACACAAATGCTCCTCTCTGAACCAGTTTATCACCTCAGTGTCCCGCCAGACACAGAGGGTCCACACTTGAGGAAACCTTGTTACAGAGGAAAGCTTGCTACAGAGGCCTATGTTGTACGGCTATGTCACAGTCTAGCACCTCCCTTATTGTGGCAGTTAAATAAATAGTTCCTAAAATTCTCATTATCATAAATACTACAGTTAAAAACTTTTTTAAAAAATTACTTTCGTTTCCTTTTGAGTAATTTCTTTTGGAAATAAACTTCTGAAACTGAAACTACTAGGCAAGATACAGTTTTTTAAACTATAACCTTTCTATTTTTTAGGAGTGTTTCACCTTTAAGGTTATATACGGTAAATTTGCGCTAACTCTAAGTTATCTACTTTTGTTGTTATTTTTTGTTTTCTTCTTTCATTTATATGGCCCCAGTGTTGAGTGGGAAAACAAAGTCTAAGCAATTTGGGCTTGTCCTTCCTTGCATGTTAGTTGTCTGCTTCCTTTTTTATGGGGAATGGCTTTTCTAGTATGATTTAATTCAATAGCTGTTTATCCTATGAAGGGTCTCTCACTGAATAAAAGCTTTTATTGTCTTGTGTGGATAATTGCATATGCCCTATTTTTTTTTTTTTTTGAGACTGGGTATTGCTCTGTCATCCAGGATGGAGTGCAGTAGCATGATCATAGCTCACTGCAGCCTCAAATTCCTGGGCTCAACTGATCCTTCCACCTCAGCCTCAGTCAGAGTAGCTGGGACTACAGGCACAAGCCACCATGCCCAGCTAATTTTTAAGTATTTTGTAGAGATGGTCCTGCTATGTTGCCCAGGCTGGTTTCAAACTCTTGGCCATAAGCAATCCTCCTGCTTCAGTTTCCCAAAGTGTTGGGATTACAGCCATGAGCTATAGTACCTGGCCATGTCTATCTTTTGACAGTTCTCTGTTAAAGAAGTCAGTAGCTGTTGTACTTCATGCAGACGCCACCTTGCTCTTATGTATGTTTTACATACAGTTCTACCTCCCCAGTCTTCCTCTTTCTGATCATTTTCATACTGGCATGCTAACAACATCCTCATACTCGAATCTTAATTGCTACCTGTACTTTCTTACTAGCAACTGTAAGATCCGATCTTAAAGTTAAAAACATAATAAGCCCACGTTTGAGACTGTTTCTGAGTGAATCTCTTCAGTCCTTCTCAATGTTCATGCTGTTAATGAAAGCTTTAGTTATTTTCTACTTATGTTGCTGGCCTCTGTTTCCTCTCATACTGACCCGCATCCTCCCAATATCTGTAACTGGAACATCTTCTGTTTTTCAGTTCTTTATGTTTCTCTTGCATTAATCATCCCATTTGAGTAATTAAAGTGTGAGGATGCTAGTGTGTCTTTAGCACTGCTGATTATTCGGCTTAACACTCAGTACTGTCTGGAGTCAGCTGTTCAAGGGAATTCACTTATTAAAAAAAAACACTCATTACTGTTTCGATTCCATAGTCTATTCTCTATAGTATTACATTCCACTGTCTGTATTTATGAGAACAATATTCCAGTCCATTCTTTTAAAAAACGATTTTTGGTTTTCTCTACTTTTATCAATTTATTCTTGTCTTTAGGTGCTATTATTGCTTCCTCCCTCATTGATGTTGTCTTTAAAGTTCTTATAGGCTTCCTCTTTGTGATTGCTACTTTAAGATGGGATCTTAAATCATTTTCCTGATGTCTTTGTTGCTTGTAGCTAGAGCTTCTAATCTTTGGCACATGATAGCAGCATACAGAAAAACTATTATACAGCACACTAGATATGTGGGTAAGTGTGTTCATACTGCAGGTGGCTATCTCTGTGTCTCCTTGCAGCTTCAGACCCTGCCTGGCTGCACAAGACCAGAACAATCAGCACACCTGCTAAGTACTCATTCAGGATGGCAAATAGGAAGCTCTGCTATTCATATGCATGTATAAAATTTGTATGGGTGTACCCTCATGAGTAGTAGCATGAGCTATATTTATACATCCTTCTTGGATTTCTCAATTAAATAGAAAAGAAATTTCATAATGTTTCTACATACTCATTAGCTTCTCCCTTAAGAGCCTTTAATTCAGCAAATTTAGTGAACCATAAAAAAAACAGGATATAATTAGAATGCATTTAGCTTTTTAAAAGCAGTTGAGGCAAAATCCTGATTGTGACTTAAAAACCTTTCATACATTTTGAGTACAAAGATTCTGATAAACAATAAATAATTTTTGCTATTTTCTACACTGAAAAAGATATTTCTTTTTCTTGTGGGAAATTCACATGCAAATCTTAATATAACCAAAATACTGAGATGATACTTGAATTATGCTTTCTTTTCCATTTAGGATAAGAAATAAAAACTTATACTTAGGAGATTTCTCATATCTTAACTCTCAGAGAAAGCAGAAACAAAACCCCACTTTTTTTCTTTTACCATCTGGATCTTCAGCAGGCTGAATGCTCATGTACGGTTCTCCTTTCTCCATGCGAGACTGTCTCTGTCGACTTTCTTCCTCTAAAGCAGCTTCT